TTGGGAGGGATTTCATCCACCTACGCCCTTTGGTTGGGGGGGGGTTTCCTCCCGGGTGGGTTTCAAGAATCCGGGTGGGGCCTTAAACGGTTCCCTTTGTTCCCATTTAAACGCCCGCCGCCAATGCCAGGCTGTGGACTCAATACACGTGGTGATTTCCTCCCCCCTTTTTGCAATTTTGGGTTCCTTTTGTAAGGGGATTGAGGTTCGGGAAGCCCCAAAAGGGATGAGGAAGGAAGAAGCCCCCGGAAATTTTTCCCAGGACGGGCGGGAAACCCCTTTCCCGGTTGGGGGGGGAGTTCCCCCTTGCGGTGGTTCTTGGGGGGGGGGGGGGGGGGGGTACGTCGTGCCCAGTGACCTTCGCAAGGTGTTTCTACTACGAGTAGACATGCTGGATGAAGCATGCAATCGGGGAAGTTGGGTTAGGGATAGTCTGCGTACATGCCTTCTCCCTGTTCTATTTCCTCACAAACGTATTAATCTCGCGAAAGCGGTCCGTAGTTTCCACACCGACCGGGGCAAACACTGTACCACTCTATTCTGAGGTGTACTCCAGACGCATCCGGCGAGTCTTTTTTTTTGTGTTACGTCATCGTGGACAATGGTGGCAAACCTCTACGAAGCTGTATCATGGGATCATTGTGACCCCTCACGTATGCAAAATACAACGTTCGCAAAGCCTTGATTGACACGTCGGCAAAAGAAACCGTATACCCGCACGTGCCCCCCCACATTCCGTCAATCTCGATCGGGGCAGGAGAAAAAGCGGTCAGCAACCTTGGAACGCAGCATGAGGTGCATACCATCGTCAGGAGGGTATACGGTGAGGCGTTATCCTCCAAAGCCGTCCTTAGACTACAGCCGCTCCTGGAGGCTTCTCTTGGAAGGCTGGTTCTTCGTTGGGAAGAGCTCGCCGAAACAGGCCAGGTGGGGCGATTTCACAAATATTTTTCAATGATAGCGACCAGGGTGGTCTAGAGGCAGCGCTTGCTGTTGTTGGTCCCAACATTAAAATATGATGTACTTCTACGAAAGTAGTCGGTATCGGCAGCAGAGGTTATTCGAGAGGTCGAACGGTGTTTAGCATTTGTTCGTACGCGAGTGGCTACAGTGTTTACCGCGCTAGGCCCTCCGAATGTATCGACCAATAGTGTAGTTCAGATGCTTGCTGGAATGTTTTTGGGGAGTACTTTTCAAGCTAGCAGGTTATATCAACGTACAAGGGTGGTGGGTCAAGATGATTTATATGGCGGAACAGTAGTGGAAGAGGGTAGGAGGTTGTCGATGTGAAGCCGAAACGCTCAAGAACTGGCACGTAGAGCAACGGCACTGCTACGTATCAGCCTCCCATGATGACTATGCCCGTGCGTCCACACGAAGAGATGTCGTTGGTGCAGTTTGAGACCGCTACCGACGACTCGATTGCCTACCCGGCAGGGGCACGGTCGATGACACAACGAACCAACTTGCACGGTGTTCTTCCGCCCAGCAGGAACTGACAATGCAGGACGACCTCAGGAGGTTTAGTCTGGAATCGATCGCGGGAGCGTTCTTCGGCGACTACGCCACGCCCAGGTTCATCCAAGACACCGGGCGCTTACTCCCGATTCTCAGCCAAGGGTTGATCAGTATTCCGTTCCGGTTCCCGCCGCCCCTGAACAAACTCCCGATGCTCGGCTTCGGACTCTCGATGGACGCTAGAGAAGAGCTCAAAGGAGTAATTCGCGACGCGCTGCACAGGCGACGCGTGGACCTGGCGTCTGGGGAGGGCACCAGCAAGAACCCCGGCGTCCTGGACTCCTTCTTCGATCTTCAGGACCAGCAGCAGATGGGCGCCGAGGGTGCGCTGGACGGGAGCTTTTCCTTCGACGACGACTTCATTATTGACAACGTAAGGCCCGCGGCGGCGGCGGCGGCGGCGGCGGCGGCCGCGGTCATCTCCTTGTCGGCTATCGCACGCACGCCGCCCTCTCTGTGCAGTGCCGCCCTTAGTGTAAGGCGACGAAACCTGAACATGTTTGCCTGAACGAGCTCGCCGCGCTGCTCACCCTGTAGAGCCACCGGTTAATTGGTTTCGTCTCCGAATCTTGTCGCGTTGCCGTCCGAAAAACAGGGCGTTGTTGCTCTTTTCGGGGGAATAGACACGACTTCGGTGACCCTCACGCGCATTCTGCAGCTCCTCGGGACTGCGGAGGACGGCAAGGAGGTAATGGACCAGCTCATCGACGAGCTTAACAACGACGCAACGAGTGGAGATATCGCCCTCGAAGGCGGTGCCGCCGGTTCGGTCGGCACCTTGGAATCGCTGCCTCTCTTCAAAGCTCTGGTGCTCGAGTCAACTCGGCTTTATCCCGCCATCGCGGGATTGTCCCGAAAGGCTCGTAAGGACTTCAGCTACAACGGATACCTCATCCCGGAGGGGCAGACTATCAACTGGAACCTCATCCACGGGTCACGCGCCGAGAAGCTCTACCCCGAACCGGAAAAGTGAGTACACACCGTGGAGTGCCACCACCTGCAAGTTGTCGGCTAGTGCCCAAGAGTGTACAGGCGCAAGTAGGTGGCGAGCACGAAACACGGCACACGGAGTCCGATGCCTAGAGAGCTCCACCTCTTGAAACCACCTAATCAGTACCTAAGCCTTCGTTTTAGTGCCAGATTTTTCTTGCCGCTAACGGTTTTGGGCTTCCCGCCTGCCGATTGCCACCTGTTGTTTACCTCGCCCATCTGAGGCGATAGGAGAGATGCAGCAACCCCAACAAGTTTCGCCACGAAATTAATTATGGTCGTGTTGTTCACGAAAGAGTCTCGAGACGGTCTTCTCCTCGTGCCACCGATCCTCAGTCTCTAACCGCGTGTCTATGCCTCATACGGCGATCCGTGCGCTGGTCTCTGTCAGGTTCTGCCCGTTCCGTTTCCTGCATGGAGACGAAAAGAAGGATACAGACAGCGCGGCCTCGCCTGGTACTGGTGCCAGGTCCCCAGGGCAGCCGATCCCTCCGATGTGGGGCTTCGGGAAGCACATGTGCCCCGGCCGTGACCTAGCGAAACTCGAGATGGTGCTGTTCATGAAGACATTCCTGCCCAAGTTCGACTTTGAGGTCGTGGAGGGGCAGGTGCGGTTGGTTGTGACCACCAGCGATTGGACGCATCGATAAAGAACCCAACACCACAGCGCAACGAATGTGTTGAGAGAATAGAAACGATAGATACGGCCAAACGGCTCCTTGTGCGGTAAATTTCGTAGGAAAACCTACAGGGACTGTCTCCGGTCTTTTGTGAGAATTGAAAGCGATGTACGCACCCTGAGAGCTGCGTGCAGCAAGCAGATGGAATCATATTTCGATTGTTACATTTGCTGTGGTGCCTGCGATGTCCACACGCACCCTTGTTTTCTCTTGCCCATCTCTTGAACGACCGCACCCACAGAGCTTCAAGAGCACCCTGCCTACGGGCGGGCCGAAGGACAAGCTGCGGATAACCCTCAAGGCTAAGCCGGCTGCTACTGCTACTACCGTGCCTCGGACAAAGTCAATCGTGACGTCTTGAACATGGATAGCGACAATGATGTGTTACGGGCTGCGGCCTTTGAGACGCCGACCTGGTCGTGAGAGTTTCGGGAGGCTTGGGATGCTGCCTGCGACTCTGTTGGTTCGAAGGTTTTTTTTTACTAGCCCTGAAGGAACGATGCGCGGGAATCGGCAAGCGCCGGACAAGAAGTAGGTCGACGGCGCCCCTCAGTCTATAGACGGTGCCCCTCCATCAATCGACGGTGCCCGTTCAATCAAGAAGTTATCATATATTATTTCCCGTCGGATTGACCCCGGGGGACACGCAGGTTGGGAGAGGAGAGCGAGGGGGCGGGGAGCGTCAGTTGTCGCTACCCTTGTGGTATCGTATCGGATGCTTTGCGTGACTGCCGTGTCGTCAGTGATTTCGCTCAGTGCCCTGTCGTGTTTTTGGTATGGCTTCGTGGACAACTAAAAGTTCATTGGGGCGAGTGTGTAGACGTAGGTGGGAGGATATCTTCTTGTTGGAGGTAAAGATGGCCCCAGGCGACTTTGTCTGCACTCGTTGAGGACTAGAGAAACGCCTACCTACGGTAGCCGCGGGGGGAGTACCCCCAAAAAGTTGTCCAACACAAATGTAAGAAAAGGTCCGTCGTTTTCAAAAGTTGTGACTCTGTACTCATGTAAAAGCATAGACACTTGTTGTCCGGAACCAACGTAAAAATAAAGTCCGTGTGCAACAATAAATAATGCAACATTTTCCTATGCACAAAGAATGCACAAAATAGGGAAAGGAAATGCATGGAAGCACCGCGTTTGGTGCCCAGCATACATACTACCGAAATTGAGAAAGAAAAGTGCAGAGAGCATGTAAATGGGGGGAGATAACTAGGGCCCACATTTCCGTCTGCGCTCAACGTCGGTATTGTGTTGGATGCCAACAACAGGTTGGGTTTGAGGATCTCGGTAGGTCGAGACGAGGCCTTCGCTGGGCCCCGGCGTATCAGCTTGGAAGAAAACTATTTTGGGTCCATGGATGAGAGGATGTGCCGATGGGTGCTGTCGCGGTCTCGCTATTTGCCAGTGAGATTCGGCAGCAGGAAAACCAGGCAAACTCGTTGTTGTTCTTGTTGTCTTCACATTAAAAACCATTCCGGTCTCAGTGGTACCCTTAATGACATTGGTACCGGTGCAACTGACGCTGGCGCCTTGGGTGGCAATAGGTCAACTACCGAACAAGGGTGCGCATGCACACAACACTACTACAGATAATCAAAGCAACAACAGGATCCAGAAAACAAGCAAAGACCCCAGCAAGCCAGTGGTCAGTGGCGACATAGTGGGCAGAATGAGGTGTACGAAAAATATGCAAAACAATAAATAAATAGCTCGAGCCCGTCATTCCCGCTCGGCACGCGATGCCACCAAAAGTAAATCTACAATAATAATTACTGATAACCGATCCGACAACACCAAAAATGAAAGCGCACGTTTCTCTCCCTTGCATCCTACTAGGAGGGTGGATACCGGCATGCCATTCCACACATGTATGTACAAAAAACAGTCGTAGGGGGCTCACGATCACGACGCCGGTGACACCCGTTTGCTCCATTTCTGCACAAACAGGCAAACAAGCCACACTTCCTATCTCCACTCCATACTTCTGTGCTGGGATAATCCATGCTATGTTCTCGCCGTCGCCTGGCTCACCATCGCGCCGTACACAGACACCCACGCAAGCAAAAAACACATGCAGATATGGCTGCGGTGCCATGAATTCAAAGCGAATCGTACAGCCCCACCTCGTGGTTAGAATATTCGTTATTTAATAATGGCTTGGCGCGGTGAGAGTGTATTGTACTTGAGAATTCCTTAGCGCTGCGCCTTAACATTGATCCGACTCCGCAAAGTAATCCAACCAAATGTTGGACTTCTGTGTCCCAGATGCCATTGAAATGAAACAAAAACCAAGAGAGCGAGCAAGGTCCCTACAGGAAAGACGGCTCACGGTGCGCGAAACGATTCTTACTCGATATCCAGCACCCCGTACTCCGTGCTCTCGAGAAACAAAGACAAACCTGCGCCCAGGGCACGTACAACCGTTCATGCAAATACATGGCTTGAAAACAGCTCAAATAGCGTCAAACCTCAGACAATCACACTTTGCTACTGTTGTTTTGGGATGTTTGCCGACGTCATCCAAGAACAGGCAGCCATTTAGTCCTCCGTCTCCCAAAGCATGAACTCGTACGACATCGCATCATCGGTGTTGGTGTCGTCGTCCTCCGCGCACTCAGCCTCAGGGTCGAGACAGACGAAGAACTGGCAGAGGTGCTCGTTGTCTGTCTCGCAGGTGCACTCGCAGCAGTCCCCGTCATCGTAGTCTGAGCAACAGGGAACAGGACGCAAAAGAGATGTAAGACTAAATACCTACCATGGTACTTCATAGGACGAGGCATGCCAGATTTTCTGGTGCCTTCGGAACTGGGATAATGGAGGTGTTGCACCTGAGGTTCATGACGAAGGACGCAGAACTTTCTATAATTACTGCTTTGACATCGCTAGGCACGAGAGAGAGAGAACTGCCCGGTATTCGGTGGTGAGAGCTCCATAGTACCATACCACCGCGGTGGTACAGGCTAGACAGCAGGTTGACACAGAGAGGGGGGAGAGGCAGGACGGAGAGAAAGGGTGCGAGAGAAGGCGAGAGGGATAACTTCCGTTGCCAATGAACCGGACGTGATGTGTACGTGAGCCTCGAATCAGCTCCACATAGTATATAATCGCATCTATCTCCACCTGCTTGGAAGATCGTCGAGTCTTAATTTTCTGCTGGTTATTTTCCGTGGCCCGACGACGGCAGGCTTACCGTATTCCGGTACGTTGTTTTCCTGGTCGCAGAGACCGTCTCCGAACTGGTGCCAGCGTTGGTACTCATGAAACATGTCGGCGGTTACGTCGTCGTCTTCGTCGACGCAAGGAGCAAGAGGGTCGATGCAGGCGTAGAAGCTGTCGGACTTGCACAGGTCGTCCGAGGTGCCGAGGCTGGGGTCACAAGTGCACTCGCAGCAATCACCCCCATCGTAATCTGAGGAATGAATGAATGAATGAATGGGTAAAACACACACCGGCTTTTAGACGTTTTCATAAAAACAAGGTACATATAATCAGTTCAGAACTAACTCAGGCCGCCCTCGTATTAAGTAAAGTAACAAACAACGACTTATAGACGAAAACATGAAAAAAATGTACCATACGCATCATCAGTTCAGAATTCAGGCCGCCCTCGTATTTCACCAACTACTATGTAGTCTAAACCTTGCCCCGGTGCGGTTCTTCATGCCCAGAAAGATGGACGTCTACGGGAATCTCGGCCTTCGACTTTTTCGGGGGGTGAGGGAAAAGGCTGGGCATTATCTGTCGCACCAATCCATGCGATGGCGATGGACACGTGCTTGTCTCGTTGTTTTCCCGGTCTCAAGGCTAGCGCCCCGTATTTTATCAACATTAAATTATTCGATTCCTCTACGACGTGCAGGCTGCCATTCACTCGTCGAGTAGGTTCGCTAACGGTAGAGGCTCATTCATCATCTGCACACAGCACCTGGACGTTTTTAGTTTCATAGATAGATAGACTAGACTTGGTGATCTGATGCTGGTGCGCCAAGAGGGAGACGAAGGCATAGTCTGTTTGGGGTGCTCGGCAGAGTATACTGTCTACGGGGCCTCCGGGGGATACGCGGATGGTATGTATTGACGGACATGCTGCAAGGCGATGGTGTGGCCTACCGCATGTCTCTCACTCTCTAAGCAACAAGGTCTTGAGTCAACCTTCTTTCTCTTTCGGCCTCTGACGAGCTATACCGCACCCAAACATAGTCTAGGGACACAAAATATCCACGGTCTCCGCCTCCAAACACGCCCACCACGTGCAAACAGGGCGCTGAGGCCTGCCCTCAGAACCCAAACATGGGGGCTGAGGCCTGCCCTCAGAACCCCGCTATCAACGAGCAATTGTCCTGGGTGATATTTAAATTGTCGGCCTACGTAGCTTGCTCGTGTCTTGCGTCAATTCCTTAGCAGGAGAGGTTTACATACCGCATTCTTCTTTGTTGTTGCGTGGGTCACATTCGCCATTTCCGATGCCGTAGTCATAGCAGGTTGTAAGGTAGCCCGTGGTGTCAGCACCGGTGGGAAGCGTGGTGACCGCAGCACCGAGGAGACCCAGCCAGATGTTGGAAGCCTTCATCGTGACAGGAGATGGTATCAGATCTCACCCTGCTTGGCGTGAAAATCGTGGGCGAGCGTGGTCGACCGCCGTTCAATTGCAAGCACGCGGGAAGTCGTGGCAAAGGGCGAGTCTGATTATGGGAGAAGCAATGTGCGTGAGAATTAAATATGCCCGCGTTTCATTCTTCTTTTGTTTCGAAGGTTGGTGCCCGCGGGCGTCTGCTACTTTTGCACACTCGTATCGCGGCTCTTATTCGTTCCCAATGAACCGGTGTTGGTTGTGTAGACTATGGCAGACAGACTGCACAGACAGCCGGCGATACCTCGGGAGAACCGTTTTACTAATAGTGATATAGTGATAGTGATCGAAAGTCATTGTTAATAGGTTAGCTTTGGATATCTTGGTTTTGGATGTCTAGTAGGCCCAAACCATCAGACTATAATAGCACTCGCGGTTCGTAACTTTTATTTCATAATTTCAGGGGCAGCTCCGCAGCAGCAGTATTATTTCTGCTAACCTTAACCCTAATAACCCTATACATATTCCGAGCGTGCGGCATAGGCTAACTTTCAAATTGTGCTGTGCAAACATTTGCGCATGTCATGTGCGCTATCTTGTCCCAACTTTCGTTGTTCGTTAGATCCCAGTGTTGGTAACACCTAACAGCCCCACCTAATAACATGCTACCGTGTGTCTAAATACTAACACCTACACTACCCGGTTCGAGTTCCACCGTCCCGCCCCCCTTACCTAAAAACACGACGACGGGAAAAACATAGCCCGCGATTTACTAACGTAATGCAGACCGACTTGCCTTTACACTACAACAGTGTACAGCGTCCAGCGTCCATGCTACAACAACAGTGTAGTTACATGCCCGCTCCACATACATCCATCCCTAGTTGCACCCGTTCTTTTAGTCTACTACTTCAAGTACTGTTGTCTGCAGATACATGAGGCAGTTTACTCGTTTGTTTTCCCTAGCCATCATCGGCATAACCTCACAACAGCAAGACTACCCGTTCGAGATGTATTATTCTTACGGAGTAACGTGTGTGTGCGGGCGACGCGGGACTGCTTTCGCACTGCTGTCGCACCGACCTACTGAAGTTTACTACTGGACCACAAGAATTTTCAGAGAACATTACGCGGTGCGGAGATTCATCTGGTATCGACGAACATTCGTCGACGCGTCATCATCACAGAAGAATTAAGAATTTCGACAGGCTGCAGTGTTGCAGTGGCGGCGGCTGGTGTTCACCGCAAAGGGTACTCTGCCGCTTGAATAGCACTGTACAATTGGAAGATCAAGTGTGGGCCTGCAGCGGCAGAACTCTGTAAAGCTATGTGCAGCCCTTACTCTTGCGTGTGTGCACAATTTTCGCCGACCCCGTTTTTCTCGGCCACCACCGTCGTATCCAATCCATCCGCCCTCCCCCCTTCCCGCGCGTCCCAACTGAACGGCACACTCTTTCTTGTTGAGAAGCCGGTACCTGCATGTTGAACAACACATGTAGTCTACACCACGTCTCCGTAGATGATTTTGCTGTTTTCCTCTCGTAGCACCTCTCACTTCCTGTAAATACACTTCATTCAATGCATAGTCTACATTCGAGTGGGGTATATGTATGCGTACTTGTCCAATAAAACGAACGGGTGGTACACGTTGCCTTTATTTCTGCAAGACCAAGAGCACGCCGCCGATGCTCGCCCTTCTTCAGTCCGAGGCTACAAGGTATGCATAGCAGTCAACAATTCTGCCGCAAAGCGTTCTATTGCAGAAAGATCGCTCGTGCCCACACGAATAAAATGGTACACGTGGTGAGTGTTTGCTTGGGTTGAGACGCTTGTGCCGTGCAGGCGTGGCTTTTGCTTGGTTGGGGGGGGAGGTTTGTTAGCACATCCAACAAAGACAATACATTCCATAGATACAGACAAATGAAAACACGTGCGAGCGGGCGGGTGTCTCTTACTCGAACACTGCAGCGAACCTGTTCTGACACGTAGCAGCCATGTAGGCAGCTGTGGGTTAAAACACGATCGATCCAAAAACAACATGGGTAGACTACACTTACTTACGGCAGTAGATATAGAGCCACTACATACATAACACTACTGTACTATACCGGAGAAAACTAAGCAGCACCTGACGCGCTTCGTATCTACCTGGCCGGAAAAAGAATGTGCGCTGGAACCGTGCTGTCCAACTCGTTGCTAGATGATGCTGTTGGCAGGTCAGGGGAGAGCTGTGAAGAGTGAAGAGAGGTGCGCGCCAAAAAGGGGACGCGGGGCTGCTGTGGTCACCGTTGGTTGTCATGTTATTTTCCGTTCCTGCCCGCGGACCACGACGGCGTCATCGCCGTTCCAAGCGGGAAAATTCACATAAAAGTGTCGTTGGTTGGATAGTAGTAGTGTGGTGAGCAACATTCTCGGGCTAAATAGACATCCAATACATGATGTGTCCTGTAGTGGTGGGTGGTTTAGCCCGAAGGGTAGACTTTGGGTCCAGCTTTTGTGCGTGCTCATGGATGATATGTATGTTTGAAGATCACAACGGGCATCGAAAGCAACTACTGGACTGTAAACACTACTACAGGGCGCGCGGGTGCGCTCACTGAAACAATCACGGCTATAGAGCTACAGCAAGTAGCTCTGTGTACTTTGTACCCTCTACCAACAGCGATGTGACGATTCAGTGCAGCAGAAAATAATTCAATGTATTGCCTACTTTTGTAGTCTAGGCACCCGCCAGATTAATCTATTTTTCTACAGATAGATCAGATGGGAAGAGATTAACATAATAATTAATTTGTAGCTATATAGCTCCGAACCCCCTTATCCAACGCACTTGCTGTGTAGAGACCAGCACCATTTGTTCATTATTTTGTTTATATGTTCGCAAAAACGAACTGGGTGATCAGTCGGGCTCTGAAGACGTTGTTGACACTGACTGCTGTCTGTGTAGTAACCGTTGGCTGGGTCTGAACGGAAAAACCACACCCATCCGGAGTTTTTTTCGGGCCAGGCGACCAGTCAGGTGTTCGTAGTCCGGAAAGAACGAAGACAGCACTCTCGGAGTAAAAAAAGTGGGTTGGGAGTCACTGCTGCTGCTGTTCCTATATTTTACCGGAGAGGAAGGAACGGTTGGTCATGGTTTACTGCTGCTGTAGATCCTGTTAGCCCGATTCTGCTTCATTGTGGACAAAACACAATAAATAAACATCGGAGTATTCTTGTCCACCCATCAGACGTTGACGTACGTCGGGGTCGTTGCATCCCTCCGGACTACGTGGTGTAATCCCTGGTCTTGGAGCTAACGAACGGTGGATACATATATATCTATGGTTTGCGATTGAGACGCATCCATGTATTTGCGGGGTGCGTGGCGTATCTCACCATTCATTTCTTCCGTCCCCCCTACTATCTTCCACAAGCCTTCTATCCGATGGCCAGCCGCCATTTTTCGCACACAGCTGCACTGCCTTTCTTTATGTTGTAGCATACGACCTCCTCATCCAACTTCATTCAACCTTTCGCAGAATGAAAAACTCGAATAGTTGGATCAGATTGACTCCTGAAGCTCTGCGGTGGTAGTGTATGATGGCCCCTCGACCACCTCGTACAACCCCACACACGCGGCCATGTAATTAATACGTACCGTGCATCACGATGATCGTAAAAAAAATGTGCCACATGATTCTCCCTCCCGTGCTTTGTCTGTACATCGCACGTTTGCGAAGTCAAAATCGAAC